CTTCCGAAAGTTTAAGAAAAATTTTGAAACAAAATGGCGCAAAAAGTTTTCCATGGAAAAATAATATTAATTTGAAAATTTTTCCGAAACTTTCGGAAGTACCCCGAGCCAAAAATAGAAAATCTTCGGGGTTATCGAGTGTGCTGAATACGAAAAACCACTTTTCAGCAACTCTAAACGAACTTTATTTTTTTTCCGGTGATATGGTACAATTTCCACGTTAATGGAACGTTGGAAAAATTGCCAAATCAGTCAGACACATTTATCTAAACAGTTTTCTGTCGTTCTGTATAATGTTCGAGGTTTGTTGTCACGTCTTCCTGAAGTTCAAGATCTAGTCGATACAAATTGTCCGTCAGTATGTGCCTTAGTTGAAACAGGTGATATTTCTTCAAGTTTGTCGGGGCAATGGTTTCCTGGTTATCATCGATTTTTCACACCTGGCTCGAACTCGCATGGTGGAGTCCTGGTATTAGTACATAATTCGATTACTTATGCAGTTAAATATTCCGAAGTGAATTTAATAGCTCTCACTATTCCGTTAGGACTATGCACATTATCGGTAATAGCCTGTTATTCACCGCCTGATTCTACATTGCCGACTGATACTTTAAAATTTCTATTAGATGGAAGTCCAACTCTGCTGTTAGGTGATTTCAATGCTAAATCAATCGATTGGAATTGTACGCACAACAATGCCCGTGGCCGCGTTTTGCAGAATATAATCGAAGAATGCGAATTACATGTAGGTTTTGTAGATCGACCAACATCGAAACGTTCAAAAAACGTCATAGATTTAATTATTACTTCTTTTCCCTCACCCGAAGTATCGGTTTTATCGTATGGTACTAGTGACCACTGGCCCGTATTATTTACTAGTCCATGGTTCACGTCATCTTCTTTCTCCTTTAAAGAAGTACGCTGAACGTTTTTAATTTATTTATGAAGTTGTTATATCAATACTTTTTACATCTTGTGTATCGTCTCCCGGCAGAAGACTTTACATCTCTGTTTTCCTCGTTCCTTGGAGCGTTACTCATCCGCATTACACATTACATTCCAGTTAATCGTTATCGTCGCTCTCTACCGTCTTGGGTTAGAAATGAAATCAAGTATTTACATAAGTTACGAAATAAGTATTATCGTGTTCACACGCCCATTTCATACGAACAATATGTTAATCATCGTAACTTTGTTAATAGCATTATTCAACAGCACCGTTTGAAT